TCCTAGATCCCTATATAGCATGTGTTTGATATGAAGTGATCCTAAAACTTAAAGGTGTTTAGTACAACATCCTTGGTTGTTGAGCCCAAGAAACTTAAATCTAACATCTTGTTAGATTCATATATGTTTGGGACTAGCATGTATCCAAGTCCAAGGGAATCGGTTTTGGCATTTTGTCATGTCCATATGTGCTTAGGTCTGGCATACAGGTGAGTCTAGAAGAGTTGGGCTTGGCACCTTGCTAAATCAACATGCCCTTGGGCCTGACGCGTGGCTAAGGTCAAAGAAGTTAGGTCTAGAATCTTGACATACCTATATGCATTTGGGCTTAACAAGTGGCCAAGTCCAAGGGAGTTGAGTATGACATCTCGACATACCCATATGCGTTTAAGCCTAACACATGGCTGGCCCTATTTACGTAGAAGCTGGGCTTGACACCTCGCGTAAACCCATATGCGTTTGAGCTTAGCGCTTGGTTAGAGTGAAGAAAGCTGGGTTTGACATCTCGTCAGACCTACATATATTTAAACCTAACACGTGGTTGAGCTCAAGAGAGTTGAGTTTAACATCTCATCAGACCCACATACATTTATGCCTAAAGTATAAGTGAGCCTAGAGAAATCAGGTTTAACATCTCATTGAATTTATATGTGCTTGGGCCTAACATACTACTAAAGCTAGAAAAATTGGGTTTGACATCTAGTTAGATTCATATGTATTCGAGTTTGACGCCTACAAATTAAATTTTTCACAATCAAGATAAATAACATAGATTACCTATAATAATTAGAGATGACCATCAAATTAAATTTTAATGTAAATTGTCTTGCTGTAAAATCATCAATCAAAATTTGAAAATTCTAATATTAGTTTATGGGTTAGAAGTTACACCTTATTTATTATAAAAAAAATTGTTTTTGGTTATTTTCATCAAACATATTTTTAATTTTAACTTTTTTTGTCATATGTTATTTTTTAAAATAACTTTTGAATTTTAACTCAAAATTAAAAATTATAATTAAAAATTTAAATATTATTTTAAATGGTGTAAGTTTTTCACTGTGTAGGTATGTACTATTTATCCTCTCACACGTTACTGTAAATGGATTATACAAATATTTTTATTTTGATCCTTAAACATTTTTTGGTATGTACTATTTATCCTCTCACACGGTACTATAAATGGATTGTACAAATATTTTTATTTTGATCCTTAATTTTTTTTTTGGTGATTTAGTCCTAATTGAAGACCAATTGATTTTGGTGATTTAGTCCTAATCGAAGACCAATTGATTTTGATTTTTTATTAAATAGTGATATTGAAATAAGAGGGATCAAAATGAAAAGGATGTTGATTTTTTTTATTAAATAGTGATATTAAAATAAGAGGGATCAAAATGAAAAGGATGCCAAACATGGATAACGTGCCATAAATTCTGAAAAAAATATATATTTTGGTCCTCAAACTTAAAAAATAACATAAATTACACAATTTCAGCCTCTCAATATTTTTCAAATTCAATTTTTGTGCAAAAGTTTATTTTTATTATTTTTTTCTTTTCTTTTATCTAATCAATTTAATTTGTATCTCTACTATACCATCGTTTGCTTGAATAAAAATTATCATATCTTTTATTTTATCTAATCAATTTAATTTGTGTCTCTATTATATCATCGTTTGCTTGAATAAAAATTATCATAATAAATAAATTTAGCAAACATAACCGGATAAATATCTTATCTTTTAAAATTAAATATCTTTATTTTTAAAGTTTTATTTTTAGATATTGTTAATTATTATTTATTTATACAAATTATTCTCAATTTATTTTATTACTGTATTCATAAATTTTTTAATTTGAAATTAAATTTATCAAATTATAAAAACATGTTAAAAAATTTTATATATAATTTTCATATAAAAATTAAAAACACCTAACTCGCAGCGGAGAGCGGGTAATCGTAACATCAGGAATTGAAGACTGCCATAAAGTAGTAATTGAAGACTGCCATAAAGTTTTGTCTGCAACGCCGCTTAAATTTCTTTTGTTTTTTATGAAATCATATTTAAACAGCCGTCCAAGTAACTAAAAGTCTTTGGTCTCTAAACATACCAAGCTGGCTGGCTTTTGAATTATTTACCTTTTTTTTTTTAATTAAAAAAAGAGATTCATTTTTTTTAATCTTCGCCAGGGGGCATGCACGCGTGGACACTTTTTGGAACTTGCAAGGCAATCCCTGTTCTTCCAACCAACAAGTTGCCCTGAAATTGGGTGACCAACAGTATTTTATAATCAAATCCCTGATCAACTGGTCGTTCATTGCTTGACACTTGATTGGTTTCCCATGACCCGAAACAACTTTCTTTCTTAGATGTTCTAATTAATGGAATTTTAATATTGGAAGGAGGATCTTCATTCCAATCAGATGATGTTAATCAACAATAAATCCAATTATCTTGTGGGAGTAATGGATTATTTAATATAGGTATTTAAAAAAAAATGGGTAAGCGCTAGAATTTAAGGTGCCCTTTTTTTTTGAAATATCTCATGTAAAATCATTATTTTCTTGAAAAATATTCTTAAAAAAAAAACTATTTTTCACTATGAATAATGGTAAGGATATTTTTCTAAATAGTAATCAGTTTCGAATTGATAATTGTAGAGAGATAATAGTATTATATAAAAACAATTAACAATTATCTTGTGCTTTTTTATAGTTCAAATTATTTTTTCAACGCAAGGTAAAAAAATTATGTTGAGATCGTTAACACAAGGTAACTATTAAATTCATGAATATAATTACAATGCGCTAATCTAGCTGACCAAGTGTTCGTTTCTTTATTCTCTCATGTTTCTTTTGCCTCAAGCTTGATAAAATTTTAGACTAAATCAATAAAGAGAAACATGGACAAGATTAAAGAATAAAAAAGGTTTGCTCTATGGTAAATCAGAACTTGTTAAAAAGTTATGATAATTTCAAGGACTAAATTAAAGAAAAGGGAAGTGAATAGTTTGATGTATGCAACATGTGCTCTAGCATGTTAGAGGTGTTATTGTATTAAAACGGCATGTGCCGGCTTTTCAAACCTAAAAATAATATTTTTCTTGATGATATTTGAATGATAGCCAAATAAATATTCTAAGTTGTCAATGATGAAACATATTTATTTTTGATGTATCTTTGCTGATCAATTTTTTTTCTCTCTTTTATTTCTTGGTTTTCACACCTGCTATATAAAAGGGTTTTATTTTTGACCTAACTTCAATTCCAATCCCTCTGTTTTCCATTATTTGTTTAATAAAAAATCCTAACTATTTTTTCAAATTGAGCGTCAACTAGGATGTTTCTTCAACACAGCAAGAACTTGTGATAAGCTAATTTAATTAAATTATAAAATCAATCCTCAATTAAAATCATGAAAGGACTGAACTAGAAAACAAAAAAACTATGATTATAAGAAAATAGAAAGAAAGGCCAAACAATAAGTGCACAAAGACCGGAGCAGTAGGAACACAATGGTCATCTAGTTTAAAGATTGGAGCAGTAGAACACAATAATGGTCATCTAGTTTATCTCTTACAATGATGATGGTGTTGTTAGAGGTTGTAGATATTGATAAGAGTAATTGAGGATTGGAATTAGTTTATTCAGTTGAACCAGATTCTTACTTGATTTGGTCGAAGTGGGACTGAACAGGAGTTTCCGCATGGTCTGTTTTCATGAAGTCAAGTGATGCCATCAACCAACTTGCAGCATGCTCGATATTTTTCATAATTCCTTATATTTTTGTGACTCCGTAGATAATTATTATAAAACAAACTGGCAGCGTACGGATAGCTTGTCGGATTTGAGTTTTAACGTCATTAATTATGTCCATGTATTTTATAAAAGGGAAGAGGAGAAACTTAAAAGAAATGATTTATTTATTCCGCAATAAAGGACCAATAAGTTGCTGGGCATATTCACTAAAGAACATAATTATTTTTGTAGGCATACTTTATGTTGGTCCACCGCACCGGCCATACAAGGGCAGGGCAGATTCGGTAACGTGGATTTATCAATTTGTAGCTTGCTCCATGGAATGGGATTCATCACTGAAGACGAATGATTCAAGTTCATAAATTAACAACTTCCCATGTTTTAATGTTTTTGTTTTTTTGGATAAAGATTGGAAGGGGAAAAGGGGGTTTCAAATTTAGGAGCGGTTTATTATTGTATTCAAATCAGTCTTTCTTTTATTTAAAAATAATTTTTTTAAATTAAAAAAAATATTTTTTAAATATTTTTTTAAATATTTTTTTTCCTACAAAATCACTATCTCCCCCTAAATACTTCATTAACAGGGTCGAGTGAAGTTCAACGACAAGGAGGGTGATTAACTAACTAACTAACTAAGTAATTAATTAAAATCAAAGGTATAGTGTATCTAGAAAGAGTGGAAATTATGGAGAGTCGGGGAAAGAACAGGCAATGGTCAAAACACGCGTAAATCAAAATTTGGTCCGTGGAGCTTGACGCCCACACGCTCTTGCGAAGCGTTGATAACAAAATCCAATAAGAGGGAGACAAACAGCCGCTACCCAGGTTGGCCCCAACCTCCCCCCACCTAATGTAAGCCACTTCTCACCTTTTTGTTTCCCTGCCTCCACCACGCGCACCCCCTTTTATCTGGTGACGTGGATTTATCCACTCCTTTCTTCTCCTTTAATTTTTTCGCCTTTCCAAGTCTCTCTCTCGCTGCGCTTGTATTTTCTTTCCGACCATGGCATGAGAGCATTAAGGCGAACAAAAAAAAGCCGTGAAGGGGGTGTGCGCTTTCTCCTTTTTCTTCTTCTTATATGTATATATATAGATATAATTTAGAAAGTTAGTTTTAAAATATACTTTTAACTATAAAAAATTAAAAAAAGATTGGACTGTCACACATATTAAAGTCGATGTCTCCTATATGTTGGTGATCCCTATTTAAATCTAATGAATTAGACAAAAGTGCCCAACCTTGTCTTATAATATTAATGCCTCTCTCTCTCCCCACGTCCCCTCCTCTCTCTCCCTCTACCTCTCTATGTTGCAGTATATAAAAGGTAGCACCTCGACCCTTATGGATCATACCTCCAAAATTCAAAGTTCAAACTAAAATTCTTGATTTTCACCTTTGATAATTTCCTCCCACCCTCCCTTCCTTAATTATAAGCAAGAATGGTAGTTCCTTCTCCAACACCAATACGAACCAAAAAAACGAAGGCTTTAAGAATTCCTACTGTTGATCTTTCTCTTGACAACTCGAGCGTATCACAGTTGATCGTCAGAGCATGCGAAGAATATGGATTCTTCAAAGTTATAAATCATGGGGTCAGTAAGGAGGTCGTAGGAAGACTGGAGGAGGAAGCAGCTCGTTTTTTCAGAAAACCAGCCACGGAGAAGCAACAGGCTGGACCTGCTAGTCCCTTTGGATATGGTTGCAAGAACATTGGCTGCCATGGTGACACAGGCGAGCTCGAGTATCTTCTCCTCCACACCAATCCTCTCTCCGTCTTTGCAAGATCCAAAACCATCTCGGACGACCCTTCAGGATTCAGGTAATTAAACATGCTCTGTATGTCCTGTCTATTCAAGTGATTGATTGATCATGCTGTTTTTGGTATCTTCTGCACAAGCATGTTGTTTTATGTGGATCACAAACACTGATCATCATCGATGACACGAATATAGACAAACGCAACGACAAAAATAATCATACACACAATGGATTAAAGGGGAGAGGAAGATGTTTTCTGTGTCAACAATGTGGTACAGGCTCGCGGGGTTTATGCTCAGTTTGTGGCGTGCTCGGTTCATTTTCAACGGGTTTTTTATTGTATAATTTAATATTATTATATTATAACGTTTGCACATTTCATAAAAAACTTTGGTCTTTGAATGGAACTTTGGTGGGCAAGGGAATTTTTTATGAAATTGAAATGGTGGAAAGTTGTTTAGTGTAAATGCTTGGTATCCTAGAAAAAGGACATCTTTCCTTCATCAAAAGAGAAAGAATTACTAATTAAATGCAACTTACAATTCATTTTTCTTTTCCACTCTATTTATAATATATCCAATAATCCCGTTTACCTCGTTATCTGTAATAAGTTTCGTCAACTATATATATATAGACAGTTAGACACACATGAAAGACGCAACCAGTAATGTAGAAATCCTCCTCCCCCGGAGCGTTACGTAGAGGTTGCGTATGAGACAATGTGTTTGACATGAAAAAAATATTAAATTTATATTGTTTTAGTATTTTTTTTAATAGTTTTGATGTATTAATATTTTAAAAAATACTTTAATATATTTTCAATTATAATAACTTGAAAAAAAAATACTTGGTAAAACAATATTAACAACAGAAGAGCTCGATCTGTACCTCTAAAAATCCTTTGGATAACTGTTCTATTGTTCATCCCTTGATCACTCTTTATTTATAGTACTAGTACTCTTATTTTGGACTCTGCCCACTCTAGTTGCTCTAGATTAATGAATATTTTAATTCTGAAAAAAGAAAACCACGAAAACAACCTGATGCCTTCCCAAGCTTACGGTTCCACCTTGTGATTGAAGGTAAACCTCACCTCACCTTGCTTTTTGTACAGACAACAGCTGTTAGCCACATGGCATGCTTCTTTTATATATAGGTATAAACGTGGGGCCTAAAAACGGTCCCACATGACTCAATCAAACAATCTTGGGAATTACAAAGAGAGATCAGCATGCCCTACCCGGAAGATTAAAATGTTCACCATGACCTCCTTTTATCTTTAATGCTAAAAAGTATCGTTAGGTAAGGTTTTTTTTTTTTTTGGCATTATTTCACGCACCCGCGAGTAGAAATCATAAAAATATATAACCATAATATTCACATTTTATTTATGTTTGATTTTCTTTTACCAATAATAATAATAATAACAATAAAAAACACTAGCAATAATGAAACCCCACTTTTCTGTCAGTCGAGCACTAGCCCATAACCATATCATTGCTCCCACGAACAAAACAGATTATAATTAGATGATAAAGTCATAGAGAAATCAATTACTTCACAATCAAATCAAGAAAGAAATAAAAAACTTCACTATCAAATCAAGAAAGAAAGATACGGTGATCGGCTCATAGTACATACTAAATTGGGTAATAAGTAAAATTCACGTCCTTTACCATACAAAGCAAAGAAGATCTTAAATGGAGATATTAGATTATTCATGTGGGTTCTTGCTATTTGCTACCATGATTTGAAGCCCCACCTAGAAAACTTTATTCATAGAGGAGCTTTTTTTCTCTAAAAACCTTCAAGCTCTACGTACACCTCTGCAACTTCAATTCTATATTTGTCAATTATCGATTTTTATGTTACTAAGTCTCTTCTTTCTTTCATGTTTTTTGGGTACAAAGTTAGTGTGCCTTTCCTTTCCTTTCCTTTCCTTTCTTCCCTTTTCCTCTCTAATGCTGAGTGGCGCTACCATTTCTGCAGTTGTGCGGTGAGTGATTACATACGAGCAGTTAGGCAGCTTGCATGTGAGATTCTTGATCTAGCGGCTGAGGGCTTGTGGGTCCCGGATAAACATGTATTCAGTAGGCTCATCAGAGACGTCCATAGCGATTCAGTTCTTAGACTTAATCACTATCCTGCAGTCGAAGAGATCACAGATTGGGACCCATCAACCATAAGAATTGGTTTTGGTGAGCACTCCGACCCTCAGATCTTGACCATCTTGCGATCCAACGATGTTGCGGGCCTCCAAATTTGCTTGCATGATGGTTTGTGGGTACCCGTCCCTCCTGACTCCACAGGATTCTACGTGATTGTGGGTGATACCTTTCAGGTTTGTAATGATCACCCATGTAGGTTATCATTTTCCCCATTATTAAAGAAAAAAAACAAATACTACCAAATTTTCTCAATAATAATGCTTTTTTTTTTAATGGTGTCAATTCTTAGGTTTTAACGAATGGGAGATTTGAAAGCGTGAGGCATAGAGTACTGGCAAACTCGAGCCAGCCAAGACTGTCAATGATGTATTTTGGGGCACCACCCCCTACTGCTTGGATCTCTCCTCTCTCACACATGGTTTCACAGCAAAATCCAAGCCTTTATAAACCCTTCACTTGGTGTGAATTCAAGAAAGCGGCCTACACTCTGCGTTTGAGAGCTACGCGTCTTGACCTCTTCAAGATTCACGCCACTGAAAAATCTGCTTAATTGTGTTCGGCCTTCAATATATATATATATATATATATATATATATTATTTAAGGTCCCAGTCTTTGTACTTCTTGGACAGGATAGAAAGAATTAGGGACAGAAAAAGGAAAGGAAAAAGAAAACTCTTGCAGATGTAAATAGGTCATAAAGTTAAAGTTGAAGGGTTATTCTATTGGATCGGCTTCTTTCTCTCCTTTCTTTCTAGCACTCTGGTTCTAATATTTGTTTTTGTTGTAGCATCTCGTCAATGTAGGGAAAATAGCCTATGTGTTTTTTTAATTATAGTAATGGTAATGGTTTAAAGTATTTTTTTTTAAAAATATAGTAATATAAATTTTTTATTTTTTAAAAATATTTTTAACACTAATATATTTTAAAAACATGATGCAAATCACATTTCTAAACATTTCAAGTTGGATTCATGTCAGTTTATTAAAAAAAATATATGACTATTTATTTTGTATGATTTTTGTGCATACATCACATTTATAATAGTGTTAGATTTTCAATACTAGAAAATTATGTTTTTTAAAGGTATCAATCATTAAATATTTTAATTTATTAAGCATAAAGTATAAACTATTAATTATTTGATTAGATTGTTAAAATTCAAAAATGAATTTATTCAATATATAAATGTTGTTTTTAAATTACTTGGATTTTTTTTTTAAATTAACGTGGATGTTCGGGTCAGGTTGGGCGTACCACGACTAATGTCACGGATCTTGAAAATTAATGACCATGTAAGTTTCCAGTGATCATCATATGAGTAATGAATAACTCGAACCGGAGACCCCTTGATTTTTAAAGATACGATGAGAAGCTTTTGCTGGAAGAAATGAGAAAAACAAAACCTAGTTATGAATTACATAGATCAAAGAGAAATATTTTTTTTATTCACTGAGAGAACTCAAAGAACTTTGGATTATATATCGATCCAAAGTGTAATGTTTTCGTAATTCATTGAGAGAATTCAAAGAACTGTGGATTATATAACGAGGATAGTCCTCTTTCAGTACATAATAATATAATAAATATTAGTTACTAGGATTTAACCTGTTTATTTTATTATAAAATTGCAATCCCTAAATAAGCTTCGTTCTATTTTTCAAAGGATAATATAAAAACATGACTTGTTGTTTTCGTTTAGCAAACTTGTGACTGCTGAAGTGTGTCTCAATTCTTCTGATTGCAATACCGTGCAAGCTTCAAATTGGACGTAATATGTGTTATCTTATATATTGAGGTAATTTAATTCTTCGCTCGCCATGATGCCTGCCTGGTCTAATGTTGCGGCTTAGAAGGGAAGCACCGGTGAAAAATAATATTTTGGCCAACTGGATGCTGACATTTTTATTTGTGTTTTTTTAGTGTTTTTTAAAAAACTATTTTTATTTTAAATTATTTTGTAGTGATCATATCAACAAGAATTTTTTTAAAATAAAAAATATTAATTTAATATATTTCTAAATTAAAAATATTTTAATAAATAATTGCTAATACATTCTAAAATAGCCTAAAAAGAACTGCATGCGCACTTTCCAACTCATGTGTGACGCAACACAAATTTAGAGAACATGTATCGACATCAACTTATTTAAGTGAATGAAAGTTTTCTTACTAGCTAGGATGTGATTAGGGTGGGCATGCCCTGCTTTCAATCTCACCAACCATGACGGAAAGAATTCACGGTAGTTCGATCAACCAGACTGTGCCTTGTTGAGATAGGCTCTACGAATAACGTTTGATACGAAATAGATAGTGACTTCTAGGGAGATTTCCTTAATTTGCATTCCTTGTTAATTTCCCAATTTCCCATAAAAGAACTGATCATGATTATCAATCTATACAGCCAAATAAGTGAACCTCACTTGATGATGAAATTTTCTCACCACTTGGTAAGATCATACATATCAATCGACAAATTAGTCACTAGATGACGACGACGATGCTTCTGGTTTTTCCAAATTTTAGTTTTTAGGTACGGGATTAATTACAGATGCCAATCAGAAATCAGAAACAGCCTGTTCTATCTAGCCAAGTTCCTATTTGGGTCAAAATTAAATGAGTGATGGACACTGCTTGTTAAAACAAGTTGACTGGGTTATCACACCAATATCGACATCGATGTTTATGTTGATGTTGACATCTTGTAATCGACAAGCAGATTAAAGTTGATGAAACACGTTATGGTTCTCTCCTTCTGGTGTATAGAGTAGTCTTGAGGTTGCCCAACTCCCCCTTTGACTCGTTTAGAGGGGTTAGATGGCCGACACCCTCACAAAACTTACATGGTTCGAATTGCATGGATAGATCGATTTCATGTCTCCAATATTTTTTCTGCGAAAAATGCGTTCAAGCTTGCATGAAGAAGCTGTGCAATTAACTATAATTGATTAATTAATCCCACAGAAATCTTTATTTCTACATATATGTACTTAATCTTTATGCATGTACATGCATGTGAGTACGTAAAGACACGTACAGCATTCTTGTTGTGAAGTTAATCATAGTTCAAAAAGGTAGTTGAACTGATGTTTATAGTCAGTTATAAAGAGAGGATATCTAGTGGTGATCATCTAGCTAGAGAGCAGCTTCGTGCCGTGTTTCTGCCCCCGTCCTAGGCTGTTAGGGCAATCATGGCTTCATTAGCGTTGTTGCTGAAAGCTCTAGTGAGATGCCACTACCAGGACGATCTTTTTCCAGAGGAAATGAAAGAATCAAACGGCAAGACCGGCCACAGCAGGAGAGAACATGGGACTGAAACCAGGTTTGCCACTGGTCAGCATAACTGTGAGAGTGAAGACGATAAGAGCGTCCACAGCTGGAAGATCTCTGAATCTTGCATTTGGACTTGATTTGGAGCCTTGATAAGTTGTCCTTCCCTAGATTCTAATATCTCAAATGTATAGATATGCAATTGCACATCAAATAGTTTAGTATTTATAATATTTCCCGAGTTATATTACTTATCAACATAATACTATTATATATTTAGTATTTCTTATATCTGATGCAATTATATTTCTGTTTGGACTTTCTTAATGGGATCCTAACTCCCCTTCAAACAACTCTATCGTTAGCACCACAATCTTCATAATCTTATAGATTCAAGAATCACAAACACTAATCTTATGAGTCCTAATTAGTAACATCAAATTTCTTTATAGAACTAGCTAGTTGCAAGTTTTCAAATAATGGAGAAGTACATGGTGATCAAGATTCCTTCTCGATTGTCTAACAAGATAAATTTCTCGCAAAACTTTAGATTCAAGATTATATGCAAGGACGTATTTGTTAATACTTAATCTAAGTCGTTAATTTTTCTTAATTAAAAATAAATCATATTGTTTTCTAATTTCCCCTCGCTACTTATAACAACAATACAAGGTAACTTTCATTAACAGATACGAATTAAAGTGCTCAAAACACACACCAATTCAATCAAGATCTTAACTATCCACTTGAATATATTATGTTAAAAGGAAAGGCAGAGAAATTTAATTTTTCATCTTGATTGGCCTTCGCGAAGAGCAGCACCATCGAACATTACTAGCAACATTTTTAAGGACATTATATATTGGTCCCTGGATGCATGAGTGACTTGAAGGCAGGAGAACTCAAATTTTCAGGGCTAATGAGCCAGGTATCCCCTTCGACATAGTAAGTTCCGATAAAAGGCCGAGCTTCTTCATCTGTCAAAACACGAGCCCATGCCACGCGTCCGGTCAGGTTGGCTCCAGGTCCAGTACACTGGTATTCTCCATAATACACTCTCCTGCCAAACATTGTTGGAACAACAAAGTACTCTATAGTTGACATTTGATTTTCTTGATTTAAATCTTACATGCAAGTTGAATATAATAGGAGAATATACCGGAATATCATCTAATAATTTAGATCTCTAGGTTGAATATTTCTTTTTTTATATCAAAAAGTAGATAATTATAAAACTATTAAATTTGTACAGATGATTGATTATATTAACTTACGAATCGCGTCGCTGGTCACCCCAGTCGTTCCAGCCTTGAGGAAGAATTATTTTGTCCATGAAAGTGTAAGAGAAAATAACTCTAGAATAATCACCCCAAGCTCTGCCGAGGTAAATCAAACCACTCCCAGTTATTGTAGAATCCTTGAAGGAAAACCCACTTGCCAATGACGAATTGCTACGCTTTTGAGCAGTCAGGGATGCCACTTTCTTGGCAATGGAATTCAAATGGCAATTCTGCACATAATATTTTACGTGCTTAATTTGCTGTTAGGAGGGCACAAATCAGAACTACTAGCTTAGCAGACAAAAATCAAAGCCAGCATTCACTTCAGAAATGGAAATATTCAAGGGAAGACAGTCCTATAACAATCTCCAGTGTACATCTTCAGGTTCCATGGGCCTCCAGTGGACCCTAAATAATAAGTTTATTAGTTATAACCAGGCGATTATATACCCTTCAACAAATATTCTTGACACTCACGAGCCAGACCATAATAAGAAGTAACAATAGGGACGTAGACTAACCTCGTAAAAGGACCTGCCAGAGCCGAAAATAAAATCAACCGAGCCTTGAATGAAGCAATTATTGAAATAGTGAAGACCCTTGTGGTCATATAGAGTGTCTTGATTTCCATAAAAGCTACAGTTATAAAATGCCGCCTTGGTCCCTGAGATACGAAGTGCTACGGCTTGCCCTTGTTTGGTTCCAATCACATGTGGAGCTGTGTTCTGCATCAATTCACAAAGATTTCGTTTGTATTAATTAATTGCAATTCGGTTCCATAATTTTACTCTGTTGCTTCTTGTTCGGTCTTCCTATGAAACCTGGACGTATATATACTCCTCTGAGTGTGAGCTCATCATGATGTAAAACAGGGAATTTATGAAGGACATTGGACACTACCATCATCAAAGGATTTGCAATTTAATTTATAATTGCTCCTGGTTTTATTCGAGCCCAGTTTTGCAGTCCCGTGAGTAGACACTAGTTTGTGTCGGGAATTTTGGAGTTTTCGAGCAACAATGGAATCTTTGTGACCACCAACATTGTCATTTCATACGTGTGAAGCGCTAGCTAGGCTGCTGAATTGCCGAGAAGATCCAGTTTTATA